GGAACAACATAATCGCCCTTCTTAAATGCTTTCATCTCTTCCTCGTATCGCTGTTTATCTTCCTTTGCTCTGTGTTGGTACGGTTGTTTCTCTTCGTCGCTCATTTTTCCCCACTTGTCGCCCAGCATCTTGGAAAGCTCTTTAGTTGGGGCTTCAGGATGTTCTTCTTTTAATTTAGGGCGAACGTCTGTGCTAAAGTACATGAAAGCATTCCTGTAGCGGAAAAGAAATAAACTTCTAGTAAAGGCATTTTCGACCCTGAGTCGAACACTAAATCGCGGTTAGTTCCGCGCGCCTGAGATTATTTTTCACTAAGTTTTCAAGCCCGTCCTCAACAGCTTTTTCACAGTATTGTAAAGAATCGAAGTCTTATTGATACGTTTTTATTTTCTATGCCCGGCGTTCAAGTTTAATTTGCCAATAGAAGCTAGTTGTTTAATTAATAAGGTTCTATAATGCTAAGCCATGTTAAACACGACTTGTTGGAATAAATTAATTTGCACGGAAAGATATTTACCGTGAATGAAGGACAAAGGAGTCAGCTTTTATATATGATACTAAGCTTCAGAATTTAATCGCAAATGCTTCTGAGTATACCCATTCTAAGACGCAAAATTTCATACAAACTTATGGTAAATTCAAAAAACACTCCGATCCGCGCCCCTGGCATCATGCATAGACTCAAGCTGAAATCATTTCTAAGCCAAGAAATGCTTCTGCAGAAAATCTTCGACGTTTATAGTTTCGAAATTTCCACCTTTCAAAAGCAACTAATCGACTGCGACATATCAAGCTTCCTTAATTTTTCATAATGCTTGGCTTGGCTTCGATTTTTATCAAAAATAAAATTAAGAAACTATGAAAAAACTGGCTCGAACTTACATTGCTGGCTTTGGTTGATTGGGATCTTTCATCTTCTTCGCCTTTCGGGTCTTCCTTCCACTAACCTCGGATTTTGGCGGTGTGTAGTTTGCCATCTCGTTTTCGTACCTCAGCTTGTCTTTCTCTGCCGCCTCTTTGAAGCGCTGCTTATCCCCTTCGCTTAGGGTTTTCCACTTTTCTGCACAAGCCTTGGAAAAATCCAGAAAACCCGGACCATCGCCTTCTGTCGTTGAATCACCTCCGGCTTTCTTCAATGCTTCTCTTTCTTCTTGAAGGAAAAAGTTGTAGATGTTTTTTGGGCCCTTGGGTTTGTTGGGGTCTTTGCTACTGCTTTTCGGCATAGTAGATGTAATCAATAAAGCGGTTACTGGGATCGTTAAAGGACCCTTTGCAATAAGTATTACCGTATTGAACTCTGGCAATGAGACCAAAGGCGACTGACTGATTCAACAAAAGCTGCAAAGCTTCAAGTCTTTACCTTTTGTAAAGCGCTAGAACCGTTTACGATTGGTCAATTTTTCCCGCCACAACTTTGACAGCTAACTGACAGCTCATAAACCCTTTTGTTCTCCCTCCTTGGCCTTGACATTTGATTATGCAACTTTTCCAGTGTTTCCTTGTTTTCGGCACATTTCCATGCGCTTTTGGCTGATTTTCTCAGCCTACTTTTGAGAAAGTTTAAAATTGAAAACAGAAACTGCGGAGAGTTTTTCATTTGTTAACGTTCTAAAGACAAAAGCAGTCGAAGCTGTCCGCACCTGTAGTTTGCCTAGCTGAGGAGGCCGGAAAACCCTTCAAAACAGCTAGCCGTCAGCCGACCTTTTGCGGTTCCTCAGTAGTAGCCCCGCCAGCGCCACAAAACGTCGGCTTTTCAGCTCAAGGGGCGGGATGGTTCTAAAAGGGAAGAATACGCAGAATACCGGGGTTTTGTCAAAGCGGTAGTATAAGCAGAGCCCTAGCCGAGTATTTCTCTTCTTAGTCGTTTTATAAAGCGGAAGTATCTATTTTTGAAGTTGAAAAAACTACAGTGGCAGAATGTCTAGTTTTGATCAGTAAAAAGGCAATTTTTTTTAAGGAAATTAACGGCTTCAGATCTTCAAGTCAGGTGGCTAGCCAGAAGAATGCTTCTGGGCTAGCTCATCCAGACCCTGCTAATTAAAATAAGACTGAGGGCCGGCTCCTGGACTGAGGGATGTTGTTTATTCGCTTAACTTATATTAAATAGCCTGCCTGAGCAGGATCTCTCGGCTAACCTGTGGAACTGGTGGTTTATTGGCATGTCGAAATTAGGGGGAAAAGCTGCGTTACTGCTTCGCCGCTCATTTGCGCACTTGCACCGCCACCAACTACGTAGGCTATCGCGCGCTCGGCGATCTCCTGAACTCCAATCTCCAAGCTATCAAGCGTAAGGAGAGGAGAGATTCGGAGACAGCTGGGTCGCACACCGAGCAAGAATAATCCTTGTTTTTTCATTTTGGCATTGATATTGGAAAATTGGAGCCGTTTAAGTAATCGGCTCCTGTAGAACACTTGTGCATTTTTTTTTACCATGCTTACAAAAGGCTTTGCGTTTGAGGATTTTTATTTGCAACAAGGACGACCATGGCTTTTTCTTTCTTCGTGAAAACCTTGACCCGATGCCTGTCGGGCAGGCATAAAAGATGACGGAGAAGGGCAAACTCCCTTCTCCCCTCTCCTCTTTCTCTGTGGCACATTTCTTTCCAGCTTCGGCCTCCTTTGCCCTCCTCTGAACGTCTGCACCTCAAAGTCTGAGCTTTCCGAAAATTCAATTATTCATCAAATCAATTTAACGGAAAAACTGGTGCAGTGAAAGGGGCGTGAAAACGTACGTAAACTCGGTCAGGATCTCTTCTCAACGGGGCCTGGGATGATCGGTTCTGTTTTTAGCCAACAGGATAGAGCCGTCTAAATCAGAGCGGTGCATGAGAATGGAAATTGTCTTTTACAATTAGATCATTTAATTTCCATTTTAGGTTTTTGCTGGTCTTTTTTTCACTTTTTTTTTATTAACCAAAATTCAGGAATATTGCGTGACGACGAGAGCGAGCCAGTAGACTGTTGGCGCGCATTTTTATGAACCATAATCTTTTTCCATTGTTCAACCATGTGACATGACGTCACATCCATGTGTACAACAAACAGGAAAGGAGCGATTTTCAAGATCGGCAACGAATGCGAATCAGTGCGAGGAAAAAAATATGAACGGCTACCGCAGCGAACACGAAGAGCAGAGTTCTACTGTTGGGCAGATTTGCTGCCTTGTAGAAGACGGTGAACGTTGTAAAAGACCTGCTGGCAACGCGAGCTATTCAAAGCGAATTCAAAAGACAGTTTCGCAGAGAAAACTGAAGTTATCTTTGGATGCGAATGTAAGTGAATATTGTGTGTAATTGTAGTCCTGAATCCTTTTGCCCTCGCAATTTTGTTTTCCAACTGTACTGCACTTTCATTAGCCATGAAAGAGTAGATCTTGATGGGGATCCGTTCCTAAACGGTTTTATTTCAGGCGAGGCACATTTACATTTGCGAGCATCACAAAAATATGATTCAAAGTGTTCGCAGCAAGAGAAAACGCAAGGACTCTGATGATGACACGGAGATGTCTGAGGTAAGAATAAAGTTCTCGTTTTCTTTCCCTAGTATTCAAACCATTGCTTTTCGATTTATCCTTTTTGATGTCCATGTTCAAAACGTAACTGTCTTATGGTCGTACGTAACTTCGAATTTTTGACCGGTTGTGTTGGTTCATGCCATGCAGGTCGATTTCTGTCAACTACAAGTTAACACGTTACGCCGTTACAAACGACATTATAAATTGCAGACCAGGCCAGGATTGAATAAGTCCCAGCTTGTTGAGGTAGGTTTTTACGAAAATGAGTACAATTTAAAAACATCTGCCTTGATTTAATTTTCTGATCCAGACATCTTTAGGTTGCTTCCTCATTTTCAATGATTTAAAGCCTGCGAACTCAAGTCGAACCCAGATTTGGGGCAAATATTTAATCTTATACGTGTTGGTACTCTGTTCGATGAAATTATAACGTTGCCAAAAAAAGAGATCCGTTTGAAGTGATTTGAGGTTGAGTTGTCCTAGAAATGTTTGACTACGTACATGCAATGTATGCTGACTTCCGTGCTAGCCCAACCCCCCTACCCATGCCTCTTTGCTTCTTTGTAAAGTTGGGGTAGGGTGGTTGTGGAAACTTGAATTAATTAACGTTTATTCCTGGTGCCCGAATGGGCTCTGAGTCAAGAACTATTGACTCAGAGGCCATGAAGGCGAGAGGAATAAGTGTTTTAGTAACATCCAACTAGTTGGTCAAAAATATAGACTTAGACAAAACAACTTTAGCTAGCAAATTGCAATTCAGCCGCCATTGTTTTGGTTTTCAAAGCTGGCGCTTTTTGCTACTAGTGGGATTATAAAATATAGCCTAGTAGTAACTCAACCAATCAGAGTGCAGCATTGATAATAGACCACTAGTTGGATTTTATTAGCATCTTTTAGCCTTGCATTTTATGTCATACAAAAGTTGATAAACATAATCCACTTTTTTTTTTACCTAGCTAAGCAGAAGGCTATAGTTCTACTGATTTTCAAAATTTTAGGAAAATCTCAGTTGTTCAGGAATTCAAAATTTATCCACCATCACACCTGTTGGGGACTCAGATTTTTTCTTTGGCCTGTACTCGTAACATGTTGATCACATCATTTCTCATTATGGCATTCATGTACAGGAATCTTTTAATAAAATTAGGTGAACTGTATCTTTCTCCTCAAATTACCTGTATTTCTGGTATACACAGTATATTGCTTGTCTTTTTTGGGGGGGTACCGTTATATTGGAAAAAATGTGGTATTTTGGGGGTGTATTGGCTAATTATTTGTTTCCGCCCTGGCTTATGTTCATCCTTTATGACAATGGTGTGCTTATTTGGAAATTTCCACTAATAGTATGTTCTAGATGTAGTTTGATTAGATGTTATGCTTAAGGGATGCCTGAATGTACATGTCATTCATCTTTCGGATTAAAAACAAGAGATAGCTGGCAAACAAAGCTAATCTGCTTCTTATTTGTGTTTTTTTTAACTTAGACAATCCAAAGACACTTCAAGCAGATTCCATGTCCAGAGAAGGAGACTGTGACATATTTTATTTACATGATCAAAACCCATAAAAGCAAACTGGATCAAAAGCCAGATAGTAATTGAAGCAGTTCCATTGGTAACATTGATTGCACAAACCTCAAGGGGACTGACCACTGAATTCTCTTGTGTAGAACTGTGACTTGATATATTTTAGTTTGTAAATACAGTTTATATTGAAGTTAAATTAATAGGCTCTTTCACTGGAGTGTTCTCTTTGGGAGAATAGTATACAGCTAATGAACTATATTTCAGAGGGGAGGTTAAAAGTGGTTGTTTTATATTGAGGCATGAAGGGTTGAGGTATATTTCTAGCACTATGCACCAACCCTTAGTAGGGTAGCTCCTTTTTAGTATTCACCAAATCAGTTGGATAAAAATAAAACCTTAATTTTTGTAATAATAAATGAGATCACAACAGGGAATTATTTTATCGAATACATTTTCACTATAAATTTTGTTGCAAATTCAGTCAGAAAATAATTTTCTAAACCTACCAATAAACACCAACAAACCAAATTTTGTGGTTTGCATGGTTTTTGTTGGTGCAGCTGATTCATTTGCCACCAAAAAAACTATCGCAAAACAGGATGCCATATTGATTCCTGTCCCAAACAGTGAATAGCCAAGGATATTCTGAGTTAAGGGAACCAATAAAAATTCACGGAAATTGCTATTCACTGATTTGGTAAATGATAAAAGGTAATTTTCTCAGCTCAGATTTTATGGATTCAGTACTTTAAGACATGAAAGCAATAAACAATTTGAAAACCCAAAAATCAAATTGGTATGAACCACAAGAACATGGCAGACCTCTTGCTTTCACAGGAAAACTGCTTGCAAGGTGTCACTTTTCAAGATTCATATACTAACAAACACACCATTCAGGGATCTTAAAATCCAGATAATTATTATTTTGGATTTGCCCTGAGACATTCATCAGTTGGTGACAATGTTTGCGCTGTAATATTATGTGATGCAGATTTTCACATGTTTTTGGAACCAATGCACGAAAAATGGGCCAAGGGCCCTCTGGTAGCTTAATAGAGTCCTCTTCAAAATTGCCCCATTGTTTTGAGGGGAAAAAAGTGAGAATTTGTATGTGAAATGTTACTTTGGGTCTTATTTCATATACCTCGTCTACTAAAAATTTTACCAGTGACTGTCCGGAACCACATCATAATCAGGGCACAACCTCTGATAAAAAGACCACAACTATTGTTTCTCTAATTTAACACCACTAAGCAAGGCTGTGCTCTAAGAAAAAATGAAGGGACCCCAGTGCTCTAAAGCTGTGAGATCCAGGGTGCCCAGCATTTGATTTGTGAGTTTGTGAGTCAAATTTAGAAGGATTTGTACAGAGTTATCAGGGCAAAACGGGACCAGTATCTCCAAGACAATAAGTAAGCCTTTTCAAATGTTGTTCTTTCAAAATATCCCAACAAATCCCATAGTTTCAAAAATTTAATTTTTTATGATGTCATCACCTTAGAATATTCTATTTCCAAGCAATTTTAAGAACTTCTATCAACAATATGTGCACTGCAGAATAAACTTGACAGTTATAACAATGTGCTCATAAAGAATACTTCGTCTGTAATAAAAAGGTGGGTAAGATGATGGATTATTGAACTCCTGTACATAATGTCGTTTTTCAAATATTTTGTTTATTCTTGACGTATGACAAGTACAATAATACCAGGCGCGGATCCACACCGGTTTCCACCGTTTTACAGAAATCGGTCACATTTTTCATACTAATGGACCCAGGGGGGCCCACCCCCTCCCCCCCTTTTGTGCTTTATTAAAATTTCAGCATTACATCTTCAATATGGAATCCAGACATTTGCTAAATTTAAGCATCCAGAATGCAAGTTAGATTTAATACATCTCAGAGAACTTCAATCTCAAAAATTTTCCTGGAGGAGCATGTGCCCAAAACTCCCAGAAAAATTCGCCGTTCCCAGTCCTGATGGGCAGTATTACGCCCATATTGACTCTGTATACTATATCTATAGGCTCCCTCTATCAAAGAATCCTTCGTCTGCCCCTGTGTACAGTAGTGCATGTACTAGGTATGAATCACAGGTTATGTGAATTTCACCACTTTCAGTAAGTAATGTCAGTGTTATTTTGCTGGTATAGTTGAGGCCCTCTCTGACAAGGGGCACTCATAAGCTGACAATTCTACACACATCTAAATCTATGGTGTAAAAAAAGAAATGGAAGATTCTGTGAGTTTTACAAAGTTTATCCAAATATGCATTGAAAATGTATGAAAATCCAGACATTTCGAGGGTGCTGAGCTCCCTCTTACTCAGTGCATTTAACCACTGAGGAAGAGGTAGTCTGCTACACAGCCATTTTAAGTGTCGTCACGCAACGCTCCTCCCCACTAGTGGGGAGGAGCGTTGCGTGACGACACTAAAAACGGCTGTGTTGCAGACTAAGGAAGAGGGAGCACCCTCGAAACGTCTCGATTTTCATACCTTTTCAAAGCACATTTGGATAAACTGTATAAAACTCAATCCTACATCCTATAGTCTTAATTCACAACAGTTTCCCATGTAGTTGTCTTGATACAACCTTATTGCTACCAAGTGGCAGATGAATTAAATCATTCCCACAAGAACCAGCTGCAGTTAAGGACACTTTTTCTTTTCCTCAAAGGTGTATGTTTATAAGAGCTTAAACTGTTTTTCACATGCATGTAATAAAGTTGTAATAACATCTGGGAAGTATAGTAAATAATTGTGAAGTTTAATCTTGGTCTTTGTACTTCATTGTACTTGCCTGAACTTCCGTCATGTATGAACCAATAGGACAAACTTACCTATCGGCACCCTGGTCGGAAGCTTTTGGACAATGGGCAGGAGCAACAGAAGGAACAGAAAATTCCCTCCCCCTCCCCTTCATCTAACTCTGAGTGAGAGCTACAAGCTTGTAGCAGTTTAAATTACGTGGTTATTTTACTTCCTGAATTGGATGATGGTCAGAATAAGACAGTATAGCATTTAGGGTATCTGAGCACCATCTCATGACTTGCATGTGTCTCACTCATGATTAATAATAGCTGATAGATTTATATTATATATAAATAACCTGTGTACCAATGCCTCAGCTCCTAGAGGCTATGATAAATAAATCGGGGTTGCTATTAGAAAAAAATTTTAAAAATAAACAGGAGCTACTTGAGACAAACTAACCTGGAAACCCTCGCTCCAGCTGGTTCACTGCACTGAGGGAAGCACATACCCACACACCGGAAAAACAGACCCTCCCTGTATATTCCAAAAAAGGAGATACTCTTCTCCCCACCCCACCGCCCTAGGGTCTCAGGTTCTATACAAGCGGCAGACGATAAACAAGCTGATCTGATCTGCATGCCCGTGCACTATTAAACATGTTGGTGTGGGAGATTTTCCTTCTTTAAAACCATGAATATCGGCAGAGGATCTTACAATGTTGTAAACCGGAGAGAATCTTCAGAGCTTTTTGATGTCTTGGAAAGTGGAGAAACGAGCGCCACAGGTAAAATACGCTGCTTGCGATCATCTCAGCTTGGCAATTTCAACGCCAAACTCTTGCGTCGTGTTTGCGCGGTTCATTAATAGAGAACGAAACCTCAGAGTGGGCCTTTATTCATTTATCGAGAAAAAGAGACAGTTGAAAAGTATTGATTCACTTATTTCTTAAAAACATAGCAGCTGATATCGTGGCATATCTCACGTCAAATCGAAGTGAATGCTTCGATAAAATCTGAATCGAGCGGCGTGGGTTTGGCCTTATTTTCACGCATATTAAACAAGTCGGGCTCTGATACACACGGCTTTGTTATTTCGCTCAATTTTCTTGTCATTAGAGGCCTTTTAGCAGCTGTTCTGCATGCTGATCAAAAGCGATCTTCTCTTCCGGTATAAACCGGAAGAAAAGAAACAGCTGAAATTTGAAAGCACTGCGCAAGCGCGTTTCTTGTCAATAAATTTAGGTGGATTCTTGTTTAGGCGTTTTGTTGGGGATTTTCTCCCTTCCTTCGAACCTCTTTATGCTGCTTACCAAGTTGTATGGCTTGGTCCTCAAATTATGGCAGAGGGATACAAACTGACGTCTGTTGGCTCGAAGGCCGATGGCAATAATGGTAAGTTTCGTTTTCAGAACAATGAGACTGAAAAATTGTCTTAAAATTTCCCGCGTCAGGATTATTTCTTTCAGGCGATTTTTTTGCCCTGGTTATTTGCAGTGAAAGTTGTAAGCCATTGTCTTGTTATTACGCCTGGTGCCTTTTATTTGCTGGCATATATCTCGTCTTGAAGTATTAGCGCTTTTAGCTTCACTTTCGAGCTTCAAAAATCTAATATTCTAGGCACAAGCTTGTCATTTAATGGCTTGCATTGATTTCTGACCGTAAAAACCACCGAGGAATAAACATATACAGTATTTGGTGGAATTTTTTAAACGTTAAAACTGTTGTTTTGCCTCAGACTAAAATCTTGTTCCATCACGGCGCGTTTTCAGCTTAGCCGTTGATAAGTTGATGGAAGCAGGTGTAATCTTCTGCGGTATAAGCTTACAAGAGACAAACAACATGCAGATATACGTCTTATCCAAAAAATCTAAACAACTTACTAGATTCGATTGTGAAAATCCGTTGTTTCTCGTTGTTTCTTGCTTATTTGAAATGGGGGATGTGTTTTCACTAGACATTTTCTTTTATAATATTAGGAATTTATTTAAAGCTATTAAACTTATAGTCATGAATCCCCAAAAGAGTTGCTTGTTTCTTTTATATTATCATGTTATCTGAATAAATATAAACAGAAACCTGAATGGATTTTGTAAATTAAAAATATTGGTTTCCTTAAAAAAATTAGCTTTAGTAATAATTTATTTAATCATAGAAAGAATGGACTGCAAATATTCCTAGTTAGATCAGGGGGCAGGGGGGGGGGGGGGGGTCTACATGACATGCTCCTTTTTCATTTTTCCAAATTCCCAGAAATAGTTCTAATTTTACTCATTTTTAGGCAAGACTTTCTTGACAAGATTTAGTTCCCCCTTCCTGGGAA